TGCATGATAGAAATATCCCAACTAATGTCACACAGTAAATCCCCTATGTCTAATCAACTGCAAACCTGAAAAAGGCAGGGAGTGTCTTAGGAATTTAATGATTGCCAGCATCATCATCATGTATCTTACTACTTTTTGTATAAATACCCTTTTAAAGACATTCCAGGCCACAGGGTAATAATGCAGAAAAATGCATCGCTCGTGATGTTAAATGCAGCAGTGGACAAGACCTGAGGATGATATATCTGTATATACCTCTCCCTAGTAGCTCCTGAAGCAAATACATCAGTGGCTCAGGCAGTATTAGGGAGTAAGGGATCTGGTAGTGCAATTTCTTCTACTTTGGTGCTCAGTTCAAGGCTTTGTTGGGCCGTTTATGCAGGGTATCGGGAGGGTAAAGCTGGCAAAGCTCTAAGAAACCTCATGATCTTCACAGTTTCAGAGCACGTGGTGGGGGCTACAGCCATTTTCCTTTTTATTGGATACAGGTGAGCTTCAGCCCTATCTTCGTACTGCTAAGGAGCTTCTCTTCTTTTCAGCTAATGCAACTTCTTATGAATGTTCTTAAAAATCAGCAGGGGTGGGAAATAAATGCAGCTTCCAGAGTGAAGAAGTAGAAATAGACTTTAGAAATTAAAACCAGCAAGATAGTATTTTACCACTGAATACACTATAAATGCAAGTTAAAATACTTTCCCTGTTGAACTACTCACACCAATTTGCAGTTTGCTTATATGCCTCATGTAAGCTGAGCAGCTATTTGATTTGCTTGTGGGTGATCCCAGTGCCTTGGCTTGCAGGGGAAAAAATCCTTTTTCATGAAGGTGGAATGCTTTTTATATTTTCAAGAGCTGTTCAGTCTTATAACAACATGATGGCTTCTCTTGAAGAAGTCTAATTAGCCATCATACACTGTCTCCTTAGAAAATACTGTATCTTTGTACTTAATCCTTCTCATCAGTAAGGATTTATGTTTACAAAGTGGGAAAATATTTGCTGAAGGAAATTCAGTATTTACACTACTGATCTCTATTTTGATTAAAAAAAGGCACAATGCAAGTTCTTCCTCCTGGCTTATGTGGTATCTTGAGAGTGAAGCACGTTTATTTTTTTACATTACATGTGACACATGAGCATAATTTGTCTGTGCTTTTAGCAAACCATACATTCCAGTTTTGCTATGTGGGAGTGTCTCAATTCTATCAAGCATGAGCAAGATACGTAGGACATAAAATTCAGGTCTTGTATAGCATCCTGGTAAGTATCTTATCACAGGGAGATCATCCACATGTGTAAGAACATGCGTGGATTTAATAAACACTGTAATGTCTAGAAAATAGCCATTTTAGATTTAAAATTAATGTAAACTGTATATTTATACATGTGCATGTGCGTGTGTGTAACGTCTCCACATTATTTGCTGACAATCATCTTTTACATAAGTTATGAAAGAAAAGCTTTTGGCAAAATACTTCATTGTTGTTGAGGTTGAAGTCAAACTGATTAGTTAGTACCACTTCGTTACAAATCTTTTTTTCTCAAGCATTTGGTATTTTGGCTAATGTAGGCTTGCTGCTGACATCTGCAAGTGTGAGCACTCTATGATAATTTAAAAGGAACAGAAAATAGAGTCAATAAGAGCTGCATCTTAGTATGACTGAAGTGTTCAGAGCAGTCATAAACTATGTTACCCAGAGAAAATGAAAGGGCTAGCAGCCACGCCAGCACAGAGGGAATATAATATGCCAAGCGTCCCGGTGTGCTTGCTACACACGTTTCCTTAGTCATAGACTGACCACATCAATGTTTTCATTTCATCCTTTAATTTAGTAGCCCAGGTGTCCTATAGTATTTCTTACGCTTAGGATAAACCGTAAGAATGTAGAGGCTGATCAGTAAAATGCACCTTTGTGGTAAACTGTGACTATGTTTCCCAGTTAAGGGTAAGGCAGAGGGAGAAAAAAGCTACTTCATTTTTCTATAAACGTTGGAGATTTGTAAATTAATCTGTAGGTGGAGGAGGATCTATAGTTGTTTTAGTTTTGATTTTAGTTATGTGGGCTTAGAAAGAACAATTTATTTGAGTACCGGCTATCGCTTTCTGAATGTTATCCTCCTGTAAACCTCTGGTATTCTCTATATTGGGATGCTGCAGTAGGATGGAAACTGTGGGATTTCAGTGGTTTTGAGAGATGCTGAGCTCTGCAACTTTCATTTGAGTTACATCATCTCAGATCCAAGTGACCCAGGGAGGACATTGTAGGATCCCTGCACTGATCCATCAATGAATGCAATTATAACCTGCTGCACTTTGCCAAAATGGTCTATTTAAATGTTCTGGGTAACTTTAAATTTTGTCTTCTTCTGATATCCCTTTTGTTAAACTATGTAATATGTAATTTATGTAGATAAAAAGAAAAGAGGTACTATTTTATTTGTGAAACAGTTTTCCTTCATTTTAAGATTTGCTACCTACCCCTCTACATGATACACCCATCACAAAACATAGTTTTCTAGTCCAAGTGCTATTTTAGCATGCCTTTTCTACACATATTTATGCTGTGATCTGCAAGACTTCTGATTTTGTGGAGATGATACCTTGCTTAGGAACCAGTAGTTTTTAAGAAGCAAGCCAAAATAGTTAAACTTCATTAAAAAAAAAAATTGTAACTTCAGTACAGTGTGTCATATTTTTTAATAAAAATGTGCATTGAGAATATTCTGAGCCATTTTACTTGTGAGTATTGGATTTGTTTGATGTTCTTTGATCAGAATAGCTGTGTTTTTAATAACAGGTAGATAAATACTTATCGCTTTCAGATTAAGATAATGAGGAAATTAAATTTTCCTCTGTAGACTTTGTTCTGTATTTAAAATAACTGCCTCCATAGCTTATATATATATTTATTTTTTTTAACTTCCCCATTTAATTTCAGTAGAACACACAAGTGAATCTGCTGACAGAAATCTGTGAGATTGGAAGAGCTGATCTGGGAGCACCTCCGGGACTGGAAAGACTGAAGCTCAGCAGGGCTTTTTTCTTTCCCCAGCTTTAATGGACAGATGCAACGATGGGCTAGGAGAGGCCCATAAGTATCTCAGACTTCTTCCCCACAAGTGAGCTGACACCTTCTCAAGCTCCTGCAGAGCAGGAGAGATTGGCCAGGGTTACAGCCCATTGGAGCCGAACGTGACATCCCTGATCACTGACCCAAGTTCCCCTTTGGACAGCAGTAGCAGACCAAAGCATCTTGATTTTTGCCTGGGAGGAGGCAGGAGATGCTGCTCCCCTGTCTCAGCATCTCCTACCAAAGCTGCTTTCACAGCGTTGCCCTGGTGGGCTGGAGACTGGGCTTCGGTGCGTTGTATTTTGTGATATGACAAACACACCTCTATTGACCACTTAAACTGCAGTGCCATTGGGACTGTGCTACAGGACCGGCCGCTTTATGCTTTATACCCAGCACCTTTTCTTCTTTAGAGCCACGTCTTCTAACCAAGCTGCTGACACATTTGTGGTTATTTTGGGTCTAAAATCTTTCTAACTTCAACCCGATGATTGCTATTTTATTATCTTAATTTTACCTCGCTGGCCATCTGGCTGATTTGAAAAGCCAAGGAGGCTAATCCTGTACTGTCATGATTTAGGAGAAGAGCAGGGAATCCACTGGGATGTGTGCGGCGTGGTTGTCTTTAAAGTAATGAGGTTTGACGACCTTTCTGTTTACAGCCAGCAGATCAACATTTGGAAAACAAACCTTCAAACCACTTGTTTGCACTTCCTTCATTGAGAAATATTGGAAAATCTAACGTATTTTCTTCAGATTTTGACTATTCCTTGTATACTCTGCCTTCAGTTACAAAGATTGCTGGCATGTAGTGTTGAGAAAGAAATCTTCTGTTGATTTTCATCGTGTGAAGAGAAAAAAAATAATGAAGGTCAAGTCTATTTGTAAACTTCATCCATTTCAGCTAGGAAATGAAATGAGTTTTGATGGTGATACCGATATTATTTCTCCTCAGCACAGAAGTGTGTGTGGTAATTTATGCTTTATTGCTTGTGATAGTCTCCTCACTGGCTTTTCTTTTTTTATTTTTAATAGTTCTGGGGGCTTTATTTTTGCTCGAACATAATTAGCATTACACTGTACGGAGAACACTGTTTATTCTTGGTCTGTTTGCTCTTCCATGCTCTCAGGTTTGATGTCTCAAATGTATTCGCTTATGAATAGAATCAATCAAATAAATAAAGGGCAATAACTTCTATCTGTTCAAATCTGCCATGGCAGAGACAGTTTCAAAATTTATCTGAGAACCTATCTTTCTTATTGAGCTACCATAGCAAAATGTAGAATGGCCTTGTGTTTGCCTTGTTTTAAAAAGCCGTGCATACATTCAGCAGCCGATCGTATTTCAGATTCCAAAGTACAGATTGATGCTTTTCATTTCTCTGATAAAAGCAAAATAATATTGCAGAGCCCCTCAGTTCTTGAAATGGGTAAACATTTCTCATAAAAATCCAGCAGCTCATTTTCAATTAATTGTAATAAATTAACCATGACAAAGCAACAGTAATTCTCAGGAAAATTTGATTTGGATGTGCTGAAAGCAGACACGCGTTACTTGCAGACCCTCGCAATGACAGCAGCATATGTTTCAGAAATCTATCAAGGCAGTTATTTTATGTTATGGTTTTCAGACACCTACAGTATGTCCCCTAAACGTGCTTCTCTTGTGCTACTGCAGCTGGTAGCAGCACCACAGCAGCCCACTCCTTCCTCGCGTGGGCTCTCTCCCCGCACCCCAGTCCTTCCCCCCAAACAAACAAAAGTGGTGTCAACAACAAAACCCACACTTGAAATAGGTTGTGTTTGGTGAAGGCAGAGATTCTGAGTGGAAACCCAGGCTTTTCGTCCATTGTGGGGTGGAGACCAATGCAAAAAATGCTCAAATATAACGGACATTTAGTACTAAAAAGAATACTTAAAATTATGTTTTAGGACTTCGCCCAAAAAGGACTCTGCGCTTGGTGCTATGGACGGCAGAAGAGCAAGGAGGAATAGGTGCTGAGCAATACTATCAGTTGCACAAGGTAAATGATATCTTCAGATGATTTGCTTGACAGCACTTTTATCCCTGGTCTTGTGACTTGCATATTATTTTTGTCAAATTGTTCAGCTTAATATCTAATGAAAAATAGAGATTCCAGTTCTGCCTGAAAGTATATTTTCTGGTTTTAATCATAAATGTAAACTTCATTTTACATTTAACAGAAAGTGATGCCACCATGCATATAAGTGTTCCGCTTGACCTAAGATATTCTGTCACAAAACTGTTCTGAAATAGATATTTCATGATGATATCTGCCATAGCTTTCAAACAATGCTAACTTTCTGAAAATGAATGATGAATGGTCCACATATGTTGGCAATATAAATTTTGTTTGCCTTATATATTTCCGCTTCGTTGCATTTTCCCATAATATTTCACAATGTAAAAAATAAAATAATACAAAGAAAAAATCTTTGCTATGATCTTAATATGTGTAGTCTAAAATACTCTTTGCCAATTATTAGTTTTATGGAACCTGGAACGTTTTGAATGGTTGATTTCTGATGATGCAAGGAACACACAAACTCTGTGACTGGTTTTCAGGATAAAAATATTGTATATTGTCACATCTGTCTCTGCTGCCAACAACTGCCTTTTCAATGTACATCATGACATAAAGGGCAGTTGCATAAAACTACTTCAGAGGTAAGTCTTGGGAATATGTGTGGATTTTTTTTTCCCAGAAAAATTTTACTGTAGCTGTATAACTAAGCTAAAGTAGTTATCTTTTATTCTGTTCCCTAATTTAGTACTGTTACTCTCAGCCATGGTTAATATATCCAAGGCAGAGACAAGATGAATGCAAATGTGTTTAGGAAGTCACATGCTGTACAATAGTATGAAAGCAGACTTACAAGCAATTCCTAAGAGTATGTTTTTAATGGTAAGTAACCTATCAGAACAAATAAATGGAAATTTCACTTTGAATCAAATTCATTGTGATGAACAAAACTAAATCAATTTGCATCTGCAATAGAGTTGTCAGAGATAGCATTACAGTGGTTATGGTTTTCTGGCTAATTGATGAACAGTCAATTATCCCACTAACTTGTTTAAAATTACTAAGTGTATTTAACTACCCATATATAATGTAGTTCCTCCTTATATCTCCAAATTATAGGGATAGCTCAGCTCTCTCATTTGGAAGAAGAGGTACCTAAGAGCTTGCTTTCTTAGCTTCAGGGAGGTGACAGGGTTGCAGTATAGTACGTATTAAGGACTCTGGATTTACCACTGGTACTCTGATGTTCAGCAGAGGGAGGTGACAGGGTTGCAGTATAGTACGTATTAAGGACTCTGGATTTACCACTGGTACTCTGATGCTCAGCAGGATTAAACTAGAAGGAAATGTTCTGGAATATGTAGCACAGGAAAGAGGTGCTTCTCATGTACAGAAGTGCATTTTGGAGGAGCTGGAGGGATGCTCTGTGCACACTGCTCATGAGAAATGTATCATCACTTCTGTAGATTTCCATGCCAGAAAATAAGCTCCATCTATGGTGATGTTGTCAGCAACACATGAAATTGTCTCATGCACGTCTCATCTTTTGCCAAAATGTCTGCATTTCACTGTTGTCTCTAGGATTTATATTCAGATGTAATATCAAAAAGTGGGCTTAAGGATCAGATGGGGAAATACAAAGCAGGCTGGGTGTTGTTTGAAAGATATTTGGTTACTTTGCTTTTAAAACAATTGAGACAAAGATGTGTCTCAATTTTTGCTCTGCTGTTGCGATTCCGTCTAAATGTTGTCCTCTGCAAAGAAAACCCAGTCTAACTTACAAGAATTTGTAATTTACATGGAGAATTTAAGCAGAAATGACATCCGTCTGTTGTTTGTTGTTCTTGTTTCCCCCCTGCCATGTGATCTGGCATAGTTATAAATTGATACAGCTATAGGACATAGCGTTACTCATAATAACAAAATAAAGCAGATTAATACTGTACATATAATTAGCATGAAAAATAACAACCTTTAATGATTTACTTGTGCAGCTTTCTGGCAATTAGGATAGTATGGCATAAACATTGCTTGCTGATGGTAATGAGTACAAGTTAACTCAGAGTGGTATTTAAGGATGCCTTGTTAAATGAAAGATGGCCTGTATGACTCATCCGCATAGCTGGGCTTATTATGACTTTAGTTGGCTACAAAAAAGTAGAAATATGAATGCAGTAATTCAGCACAGACAGACATGGATTTCCTTGACATTGTAAATTACCTCCTCATGTCAGTGGAAATGTGGCAAGGGAGAAGAAATGAAGACAATATAGTACTGGACAAGTACAAATACTCTTACTTTTGTAGCTTATTTATTTTTTCTTTCAATTTAATTTCAGGTCTTTCTTCCTCATCCGTCATTGTAGGTTGCCACTGCTAGAAAGTGGATGAGTTACTGCAGAAGTAACTGAGATAGCAGCAGCATAGTGGTTTTACTATGGAGGCAATAATTAACTCATATCCCTGCATAATAGCATTACTTATATCACTCAAGTATTTCTGTAGAGCCAAGTATTATACTTTCTGATTATTAAAACTAGCGATAGGGTGTATTGGCTGTTCAGAACTTGTAAGAGAATGTGAAAGCTGCCATATTGGGTTGACTAGAAGCTCAGTCTAGTGTTGTCTCCCATTTCTGATAGCATCCAGTAAATACATGCTTAGGAAAAGCACGTTTGCCCAACTGCAGTCAGAATAAGCTCAGACACACAGACTACTCATGCAACCGTGCTTTCATTTTATCACATATTTTTCTGGAGAGCATCTCATGGTCCTCATCCGTTGTTTCCTTTGTATGATTTTTCTAAGACATTTCCAAGACCTGAAAGCCAAGTATTGTCCAGCAGTTTCAGTGCCTGCATTAGTGCAGGTGTACCTGCCACCCACCAGTACATCGCAGAGCACCTGCTCTGTTTTGACCATGGGGTAGAAGCCTCCCAGGGGAATCACCAGCATCTTTGCTCCCAAAGGAGATACCTGCTGAAGTGCTCACTGCTTTTAACGGTTAGCCAATAATTAGATTTAAACCCAGACTGGAAAAACACCTGATTTTCCTTTACAGTAAAGACCCCTTATCTTGATAAAGTGTAATGAAGTTAAGGCATCTAAGTGTAAATCAGGCTCCAGATCTTGGGGTTCAACCCTCCATCTGAAGTCTTTGCCCAGTGCTTAGTGTCATGTGAGCCAGTTGCTAAGTAGGGTTCTTAGGTACAGGCAATACAGTAAATAACTTCAAAAATGTGAAACATTGCAACTGCTGCTTTCCTTTCCAAGTTGAATGGAAGAAGCAGGAGGAACATGGTTTAGTAATTCTGGGGGACCTGATGTTGCAGCTATTCAGTACAGATTCTCCTACAACCTTTAACAACGGTACCTGAATGCTCTGCAGTAGGATTTTAAAGTTTTTTGTATGTTTACTCTTTTGCTGTCTTCATGAGGGGAGAAAGAAGCATATGTAATGAAGTGTCTGTCCTCCTTTCGTTGCTTTGGACTAGTTTCTGTGAAAGATCTGTGTACCATCAAGACAAGGTTACAGTTATTTACCTAGCTGAATTAAGGGACTATGAATGGCTGATATTTGTTTTGGAATAGAAGTATTGCATACAGTCTCCTGGGAAAGCAAATACATTTTGTAATTAGAAGACTAAGAGATCCTAGGCCACATTCAAATTTACTTTAGTAACTCTGTTGTGATCATTGGAGGCATTAATGTGTTATGAATTTAATTCAAACCGCATTAGAGAAAGCATTCTTAAAATATTTCTGCATGCTTTTATTCCTATCTTAATGATGTTTACAGTACTTACCTAAATTTCTGGTGCAAATGCCATACACTATTTTAACTTTCTTAGAAAAGGTTTAATTTTATGAAAAATATTGGTCACCTGCGTTTACTATGGTTTCCTTTTTGTGTTTATTACCAAGAAGAGTTGATATTTTGCCCAAACTGGGTCTGCATGAAAACAGGACTTTCTGAAATGCTGGTGTCTCGTTGCTGCTTTAAGTACTCTTTGTTGATGCTCACATGAGGTTTCTACTGAGATTTGCTAACGAGTTACTTTGTCTAAGAAGCAAATACCAAAAAAATTTCTTGTCGCTTTCAGGTGAAGTGATTCTTCCCCAGAAAACAGTGGCTCCTCAAACCAGAGTTTTCAGAAAACTCCTGTATTTCCACATTCTGTTTATTTCCCAAGGTACCAAGTACCCTGGTGAAACGTGAGACATGGATTTGTGTGTCATTTGAACCAAACACATGAAGGACTTTAATGTGGGTTCTTTTATTCCAGCAAAATTTGTTGACCATTTGCCTATTGACTGTTCTCAGGAAATATACTCTGTAATCAAAAGTTCTGTAAAATTACTGCTTATGGTTTTGACCACTGCTGTCCTGTTGATCCCTTTCATTGAGAAATGAAAGAAACACATAAAAAGAGAAATGTTCAGTTACAAAATGGCAAAAAGAAACTAGTTGCACTGTATTCTCCAGAATCACAGTCAACGACCAGAAGAACTCTTGATTGTGTTAAGCACAGTAAAGCTAGCATACTTATACAATTATATTTTACACCAGTTCTAGGTCAGTAGGAATTGATAATTCTTAATATTGAGTTGTCACAGTCCTAGTGAAAGCTGCAGAGGAAACCAGGTGTTACTAAAACACAAAAAGGGGTTGATTCCTTACCTTGCCTGAAGCAGGGAAGACCCAGAATCAGCCATGGCAGTGTGTCTCCTGGCTGTCCAGTCTTCATTCCATGTGGGCAAGTTTCATACACGTCTAGTGTTAGGAGAACTTTTGTCTTTGTACCTTTCCTTCCTTTTCTTTCCCTCATGCAAGTAGCAGAGCTGCTATCTGAAACGCTGTGAACTGGTGGAGACAGCTGCTCTGCTTTCGTACTCCAGGCAGATGCACCCGACCACGGGACCTTGGTGCTTGGGGATGTTCTGCTGTAAGAAAGCTGGGCTCTGTCTGTCCAAACTCC